ACATAATTTCGCTCCACCACATGTACCACATGAGGTGCGAATGACAATAAAGAAACTCTGACTCTGACTCTGACTTATCTTAAGTTCAGGCCATCCATAACACCAGAACAGCCAGTAATATGCTGTCTGTCCAAACTAATGTCTTTCAGGAGTCACAGCTCTCAGGTTCATTGCCTTTCTCTCTCCTCGTTCAGAGGAGCAGGGATCCTGATCTGAAATGTTGCTTGTGGAAACAAATTTCTCTTGTCACCGGTTAAGACTCCCTTCTCTAAAACTTTGAAGACACAAACAAATCTTGTGAAGCTTCATTGTCACTGTGTTCCAGCGATGGCTTGTTCCCATACCCTAAACCCATGCAGTGAACCCTGCAGGGATTTTAAAGTCAGACCACTGCACGAGGACTTCTGGTCCACTTTAGGGCCTGGCTTCCTTCCAGACAGAATCCCAGCAGATCAGTGGTGGGGTTCTCTTTAAAGACAAAACAGCTTCTGTGGTTTATCTTTAAAAGCATTTTATATCCAGTAGGATGTGTGAACCTGTGTTCATGACTGTGTTTTGTTTTTCTTTTCCTGGATCACCAGAACACCTTGGGGGCCTACCCCTGTGGTTCTGACCACACTCCCAGCCCCATGGCCAGTTGGGTCGCCGTTGAAGCGAAGACGATATTGGAAAGCCCATCGGCCCGTTTCACCGCTGTGGCCGTCAGCGTGAGGCCGGGACATACCATCGCCTTCCTGGGAGACTCCAAGGGGAATTTGCACAAGGTACCAGACCCGTTTGGATTTCAGACAGACAGGTGCTCACATTACAGAGATTATTCTCTTCATGCCAGAAGTTAGAAGGGATTATCTGGGATGATTTGGTGATTTTTAATTTGGCCTTAATTGGATAAAAAGTGTTGAGTGTTGGCTTCTGTTCTGGTTTGGTGATTTACAGTTTGTCTTTTCTCTGTTCTTCTCCTGATATTTATTTTGTTTTTATTTGTTTTTTCTGGTTGATATCTAAAATGAACACAACACAAAAATAATTTGCAGATTTATGAAGCTTGTCAAGCTGCATATTTTCACCAGTTGACTAAAGGTGGAAGGTGGGCCCTAATGTTTGAGATTTCATGTATGGGTACATTTATCTGTCTGATAGCAAAATATCTCAGGACCCACTGGACAGATTTAAAAGAAACATTTTAAAAGTAATCAGTAGATGTACTTCTACAACTGATTAACTTCTAGTCAACGTAATTCAAGATGGCCACCCCAGCTCATCCGTCTTAGCAAACTCTAAAATGGCTCCAACTTTGTCCCTTCTTAAGCTAAAGCTTGTTCTGGTAGTAGCTGAGTGTCATCTTCAATGCACACTCTGATGTTGCACAACATTACTTTCAAAATTAGATCAAACATCTACCACTCCATTTCTCAACATCACATGGGTTTAGTTTCAACCTCTGCAGACTAATGTGTCCTTCAAGGAATGCTCAGCCTATAATCTTTCTCCAGATTAGTTCTTTTATTGCTACAAAAATGTGCTGTTCGATAAATCAGAGGACCCAGCTTTTCTCTCTCACACAAACCTGCAGATTTCCTGGATGTTTTCAGGACTCCACATTACCAAACTATAAAAGGTGTCTCAAAAGATTCAGCCCACAAAAAGAGCAAACAAAGAGGGAAGCTGCAGGTGGAGACAGAGCATCTGCTCTATGGGCTGGGCCCACTGGGCCCGCGTGTTCTGGCCAAGAACACCCACCCAGTCAGGCTCAGGCATGCCCACCTATAGACAGACTGCAGGGCTCAAATATCAAAACTCCATCAGAGCAGTAATTACCATATTTTCCGGTTTGTAAGCCGCTACTTTTTTCACAGGCTTTGAATTTCGCTGCTTATACGTTGCTATGGCTAATTTATGTTTTGTTTAGTTTTTTTAGGACAGGCTAACAAGTTTCCTGCTGCCAAAACCGTCTAGCCTTGTAACACCCGGGCGGTCACAGAGTAAAGACAAGGCTGGTTATTTATACCTTTCCATCTTTGTCTCGGTCTCTGAATTTGTTTAGTGTGTGCACAAATGCAGAAGGAACGAAATCAGGACTCTGCCAGTCCAGTGATGCCTCCCCTGTAAAGAAAACACATGTATACGTTTGTTTATTAGCAACTAGCTAACAGCTATAAATTGTGGGTCTACGCTTTACAAACAACTGTTGATAACAAGAGTTTCTATTGAAATAAAAGTATAGACACACAGCCTTACCTGATATAAAATGGGCACCGCAGACTCGTGCAGTCCAATCCACCAGTTTGACAGCCTGAAGCCACAGCTGCCTTCGGTGGCTCTGAAACAGTCGATTAGTGTGGTTCCAGATGTTTTCAAACATGCAGCAGTTCATCCGTTAATTAAGAAACCTGGACTTGACCCTTCAACCTGCTCAAACTTCAGACCAATCTCAAAACTTCCCTTCCTGTCCAAAATCCTGGAGAAAATAGTTTTTATTCAATTAAACAAGTTTTTGAATGAGAACAGAATGTTCGAGATTTTCCAGTCTGATTTTAAGCAACTCCACAGCACTGAAACAGCATTAGTGAGGGTTTGTAACGACATTATGATCTCAAACGATTCTGGTCAGTTTGTGGTACTTGTGCTCCTGGACCTTACTGCTGCTTTTGATACTGTTGACCACAGTATCCTTATATCATGGCTGGAACAGTGGGTTGGGATCACAGGTGCTGCATTAGAATGGTTCCACTCATACCTGAGTGGCAGGAGATTCTGTGTCAAGGTTGGTAACAATGTATCCGCCTCATTACCTCTTTCTTGTGGGGTCCCACAGGGTTCGATTCTTGGACCCCTTCTGTTCTCACTTTATTTGCTCCCACTGGGGTCCATCCTGAGGAAACATGGTCTTTCATTCCATTGCTATGCTGATGACCACCAGATCTACCTGCCTGTGAAACCAGCGAGTGTTTGCTCCATTCACCCTCTGTTAAAATGTCTGGACGACATTAAGGCCTGGATGGCTTCAAATTTCTTAAGTTTTAACAATGAGAAGACTGAAGTCATTGTTTTTAGCCCTAGCTCAACTGCCACCACTGATCCTGTCAACCTGGACTCTCTTCAGCCATATCTGAAGCAGTCTGGTAAAAATCTCGGGATGGTTTTAGAATCTGACTTCAAGTTTGACAAACAAATCAACTCTGTTCTACAGAAAAGCTTCTTCCAACTCAGACAGGTAGCTAAACTCAAGCCAGTGTTGTCCAGACCCGACCTTGAGAAACTAGTCCACGCCTTTGTCACGACCCGATTGGACTATTGCAACGCACTGTATGCTGGGATCAGCCAGGCCTCCATCTCACGTCTTCAGCTCGTCCAGAATGCTGCTGCTCGGCTTTTAACCGGAACTCGTAGGTCTGAACATATTACTCCAGTTCTGTCCTCCCTTCACTGGCTCCCTGTTCGTACGAGGATAGTCTTTAAAATTCTTCTGTTGACCTTCAAATGCTTAAATGGCCTCGCACCCTTTACCTCTCTGAGCTTCTGGAACCTTACGTTCCCTCTCGGGCCCTGAGATCATCAGATCAGCTGCTTTTGGTTGTTCCAAAAACAAGAAGCTCAGAGGAGATCGGGCTTTTTCAGTCATGGGCCCCAAACTCTGGAACAACCTGCCCCCCAACATCAGGCTGGCCACCTCCCTTCAACCTGCCCCCCAACATCAGGCAGGCCACCTCC